CGACTCTGCAATCCTTCACATGATTGAACCCCAACACCTATAAGAGCAATGAGCCTTAAACCAAAGGTCCAACCCTAAACCAAACTCCAAGTCCTGTAGTCTGGAGGTCTGACTAGTGCTTAACGACATCCCCTTATGTTCCTTGCATTGTCTTCCTATCATTTACCCGGACAGACCGCTTCCAACCATTGCAACCATATGCCTCTCTCTCTACATGTATATATATATATATATACACACGCATGCATACAGACATACAGGTATTCATATGTATGGATGTATGTATGTGTGTATGTATGTATGTATGTATGTATATATATATATATATATATATATATATGTCTTTGCACACACACACATACGCCACACGTGCACACTATACATATATACACATACACACCTATGCATATGTATATAAGCATATAAGTAAATACATAGTATACATATGTATATATATATATATATATATGCATGCAGAGTTATATACCTATGAAGACAGATATGTGTATACTGCTTTTTATGAGAAAGCTTAGAATAGGCTTAGATATTGGGGCTTCTGCTGCCAAGGTTCAACACCATGAACCAAACTCCGAGGAAAATCAAGGCTGGGACACCTCAGACAGACAGCCGAGGGCTTTGGGTCTGGGACTTGAGCTTCTCTTTCTGGGCTTTAAAGGGTTTCTCTGGTTAGGGTTGAGAGCCTAAGCGGCGTTCAACAACAAACCCGGCCAGCCTCAATCTTATCGAAAAAGGAAACCGGATGCCGAGCTCGACATGTTGCGTCATTAACACGCATCACGACCAACATCCGCAGTGGGCTGTAAGACTCCACCGGTGTCGACATTCTAAAAGGCATGATAGGTCCTAACTGGTGATTCACGGCAGCAAAGCGACATCGCACGAGAACATGCCAGTTCACCCACCCGTGGCACTCAGGTTTGGGCTAAACTTCCTGGGGAGTCAAGTGTCCCGTGGATTGCTAGCACTTGGCGACAAGGCAAATGGGAGTTTCCGAAAATATGGGACTCCCCCTAATTTTCGGAAACTCCCAAATTGAGTTGGTGCAATTGTGGCCAAAGGGACGCACGAACTGGGGTTCAGATTAGGGTTTAGGGTTTAGGGCTTTAGGGATTCCCATACTTGTCCTTGTCGTTGTGGCTGTTACTGCTGCCGTTCAGTTTTGGCTGCTGCCTCGCTGTTGCTGTGTAGTTTCACCATGCCTTTACTTTGACCTCATAGCCCAACATCCCAAGCTCCAGTCTAAACCCTAAATCCTCAACCCTAAGCCCTAAAGGATCTAAATCCCAACTCCAGAACTCTGAATGGGAGTTTCCGAAAATAGGAGACCCTAATAAAGCATCCTAAAAAATAGGATCCTTATTATAAGGACCCCAACATAAGGTACCCCTAATTTTCGGAAACTCCCAAATCCTAAATCCGATGCCCATTGCAGTGTCGGCCCAGGCACTCGCATCAAGCCAGGCCCTGAAGTGACGGAGTTCAGGAATTGCTGGGTCAGGGTTTAATTGCTTGGGGTTCAGGGTTGGAGGGTTTACGGGTTCGAGGGTCGGGGGTTAAGGGCTTATGGGTTCAGGGTTCAAGGGCTTAAGGGGTTTAGGTTTCAGGGTTTAAGGGTCAGCCACAAAGTTTCGCGCTTCGGGACTAGTGTCTAGACTGTGGATTTTATGTTTGGTCCACGAGCCTTTGACCCGAAGCTGAAGGCTTGAGACCTACCGGGCTTCGTGACCTTTCTGATGTAGCTTTGTCTTAACATTAAGGCTTCCTTTTGGGAGGTCCTTGTAGCAAGCAACTGCCGTGTGTGAGCCTTTTGTCAGTATCTGCTAGCACTACCTCCACCACTGCCCCGCCACGGCGAGGACAACCATTTCAAGGACCAGGACAAAAACGACGAAGACGGCTAAGACCACGACTAAGACTAGAATGAGATCGCGACGATGACGACTACGACTGCGACTTCTGCTGCCGCCACCTCCACAGCCACCGACAAAGACTTCCAACTACTCGCAGCAGCTGTCAGCAACAAATATCCTTCCTTGTAGGTAGATGCCAACCACAACACCTCCACTGTGGTTGCTTTGGGGGCATGCACGCACGAGGGTTTGCATTGCTGGAGCGGCGTAGGCCACATTATATATACACACACACACACTTACTAAACAAGCCATTTGGAGACCCATACTATTTGACAAATGCTAATCTTGGAGAAATGCCCATCTAGATCCATTTAACCCCAATCTTGAGAATGTAGCCGGCTTACCTGTCACTTCGGGTCTACTTGTATAAGCTTTATCGAAACTAAACCAGAACGGATCTAAAACCAGCACCCGGGACCTGGCCTGGTCTCTTCTGCTACGCATGGGGCAGCAGACTGGCAGTGTGGCAGGGGATTTTGGGGTTTCGGACTTCAAAGGGCTTGGGGCTTGGGGTCAGAGTTTAAGGTCAACGGTGTAGGTTGCGGGCACGAGTTTGGGGGTAGGATTGAGCTCGGGTGTCCTACAACATGACGGCTGCTACAACGGCGCTAAGCTTGCTTTGGTTGGGCCTCTGGGGTCTTGGGTGTCAAGGCGTTCGGGCTCAAGCGCTGGGGCTTTAGGGTGCTAGGGCTAGGGCACTGCGGGGTTGAGGAATCAAGTTGGGAGCTTTTGGTGTGTACGGCCTGTGCTTTTGAGATTCAGTGATAAGGCTCAAGCAAATTTGGCATAAGGTTCCAAGCTTTTTAATTAGGGTCGTCGTTTTTGTGTGGAGGACTGAGCGGTCAGGGGGAGAGGGCAAATAGCACACCAAGCTGGAAATTACGAAGTTGCCGAAGCGGTACGAGGCCAAATGGCGGAAGCCTGGAGGATGACGCAGCTGACAACTCATGGCAAACTACACCTGGGCTGCTGCCAGCAATTGCAGCTGTAAGCCTAGCGGCACGTAATGATCCAGGTGCTGCATGCTGCTAGGTTTGTGGATGGCCAGTTAAATGTCAAGTGACGCAAATTTCCAGAATGCATATCAATGACACTGTTAAACTGTAGAAAGCTGCAGCCATACACCTAATCACGCACAAATCCCCAGGACCCCTCAAGTACAGCACCAAGATCCCTGAACCGACATATTCGGCTTCCGGGCTTGAGGTTCGAATCCCAAACTTTAGGGTTAGTTCCTGTGGTTTTAGGGGAGTAGGGGAGTTCTATAGGAGGGCGTAGCCCTGAAACTCGAAGTAACGACGGCCGAGCCATAATGGCGATCACAACCCTGCTTGGCACAGCACAACTAACCTCTACACCCTGAAAACCCCTTTTGCTTTCCACTTCCACGGCCCCAGACCAAATGCAGGACCATGTGTCATCTGGTTCTAGATCCTAAGGTCATCAGTTTAATTAGAAGGGATCCGTAAGAATAACATAAAAAGGATCCTTATGGAGAACACCTTAGTGAAGAGAGGTCGGAGTCGACCCAGCCTGTGGCGCTATCGTGTCCATGGCTCCCGCCCGAGAAACATCTCTGGAGAGGGGCCCCAAATCAACCCGAATTCATGAACACCTTTCAAGAAGAGAGCCTTGCACCCTTAAGGGTTTGGGTTTGGTTTTAGTGTTTGGTTTAGGGGTTAGGGTTTAACCGAGTTAAGCCCTTAAGGGCGTACAGTACTGCTGGGCTCGCGGTATCGTGTCTTTGATTCCGGGTGCGTACTGCTTCACCTTAAACTTTTGCCCTAAACCCACATACATGCGTACTCTACCATCGCAACGGTTCGCATGTCGAGCTCGAGAGTTTAAAGGGTCTTCGCGAGACGGGGCATGCGACCCACTCCAAAAGTAAGATTGATTTCGGGGGGCGCCATAGAACTTCGATACATAAATGGGCTCCAAAAGGTTATACATAATATAAACATGTAACAGCAAGTTGTAGTCCTTTCAACAAACCCTTCGACTTTGGTCTTGCACCTCGTTGGCTGGTAAGTTCATGTCCTTTGGGCCGCGAAGCTGCACGGTGCGGCGATTACATCCAAAAGCCCTAAACGATGGAGCAAGGCTCCGTTTCAGCATTTATGATAATCAGCCCCTGAGGAATAATGTAGGTATTCATTTCGGCTTCCATATTAAGCCCCGGACTAAGGCTTCGGAGGTAGGTCGAAAAGGGTTCCGGGCTCAGGATTAGAATTTAAGGGCTGCCCGAGACCCCAAATTTCCAAAGCCTTAGATCCGTAACTGCTACGCACCAAGGGGTTTAGGGTTTAGGTTCCTAAGACCAGGATCGGGTGTTGAGTAGCATAAGGCTGGGGTTGGCGGGTAAACCCTAAACCACGACTATAGGGGCCTTAATACTTACCTAACTTACCTATACTGATTTTTTGGGGGGGTCCTTATTGTAACTATAGTATAATGGGCCCCAAAACCCCTATTCTACTTATAAAGGTGCCTAAATCCTAGATCCTACTTGGGGAAGTCTGAGGTTCGTGGCTGTTGAGGGATTTCGGGATTTCGGCCCGTCTCCGACATCACCATGCTTTGAGGCCCATGGAAAAACCCAAGTACGCGGTTTAGGGTTTACGGTTTGGAAGGTTTAGGGATTAGGGTTTCGGATTTAGGGTTTAAGGTTTAGGGATTAGGGTTTAAGGATTAGGGTTCAGGGAACTACCCAGGAATAGCAGCGAAACAAAAACACAGAATAGGGTTTTGAGTTTATCAAAGTCTTAAGATACCGGGACCAAAAAAGGGCATGCACCCGAACCGCTTAACCCGAGCTCCACAACTTCAAAGCCTAAGCCGACCCAAGAAACTGCAACTTACAACCCCAAGCCTGAACCCAACAGCAGGCTTTCCACGCTGTTCACACTCAGCCCGAAACCCGAACCCCGACCCCATTTAAAAGCCATTCTAGCGGCCATTATGGGAACACACAGCTTTTGCAGGAACCCGTTAAGGACATGGTATCCAGTATGGTAATCCTTGTAGAAACCCTGAAAGGAACCCCGGTTTGAAGGAGCCCCCAACCTCCGGAATGGCGGCAGCCACCGGACCTGCTCCAAAAGTCCAAACTCATGGGACATGTTTTTTTTTTTAGGGTTTAGGCGTTGGAAGAGCCCCCTCGGGTCTTCATAGGGTTCTGCACGGGTTTTGTAGGGTTGCTTTCCGGGGGTTATGCTTTGGAGCTGGGTTTCGGGGTTTCGGGGCCCAGCTTCGGGGTTCAAGTTTCAGGGCTTGGCTGCAACCTTTGTCCAGAAATTTCTACTCGAAGCTCTCGAAACGGCATCCACAAGGAAAGCTCAGAAATTCCTGTAGCCTTCATAAGTAGCATGTACCCTAGTCTATCCTGTAAATGTACCGAATCCAAGGAACGTAATTCAAATCCCTTCCAAGGCGGAAAAAGAAAGCAGCAGCCAGCACGGCCTGATAAACGAAGGCAAGCAAACACGGTACGGTCTTGGTTGGGGGGCTTGGGAGACTCTGCATGGCATTGCTTTGCTCTACTCTTCGCAAATTTGCACATCGCTGCTACATGTCACGGATAGGTGTCCAAGCCCTCGAACCTTTTCAGCAAATAGCAACCCTGACCCGAAACCCTAGCTCTAAACCGTGAGTCCTGAGCATCAGTCAGAGCCAAATCGGCCGACACACTTCCACAAAAGGAACTTTTTGGCCACCCACCTTGTCCTGAATGAGCGGCGCGATCTGATCTGTCTAGATCATTGACCGCAACTGCAAGCAGGTCAGGAACCCAATTCAGAGGTATGAATCGAGTTACGGATTCCTGTTAAGGTTCCTTTAGCGAAGTCAGTGTTCCCATACTGCTTTCTCTAGGGCGTACTCAGGCTCTGTATTGCGGGCTAGTCATACCCAAGCCCCCGAAGAGTATAATTGAATCGGTACCCACAGGACCATCCAGGCACCACATGCATGCCCCCAAAACGCTACCAGGACAATCAAGAACCCCTGACTCCGAAAAACCGTAAACCCTAAACACACGCAGTGAGGGTGCTTCTGCTCTTTGCTCATCCCCTTTATGCCGCACGACTGCCAGCACTGAACATCTCTTGTTGTGGTTGTCAAAACAAGGGCTTCCGGGCACAGGGAGGGCCGAAAGGGTTAAGGGCAGTTGAGTATAGGCTTCTCTGTTGAACCAGGTTCATAGTACAGTAGATGTATCTATACATGTCATTTCTGAATACTTTTACGACCCCACTTGCGTTACGCCCTAAACCCCTAAACCTGAACTGTAGGTACGTACTCTCGCAGGGATCCAGGTCGAGTACCAAAGGGTTTATACGCCGGAACTTGTCAAGCACCACGAACGGTGAAAGCATGATGTGACGCAAAAGGAGGTTCAAGACATTGTGCAACTACCCGAACAGAAGAACATACGGATGTTAGGCTGACGAAAGCAATGAAAGCAAACACGACGGCAACCAAGACCACAACCAAGAACCACAACACCAACAACAACAATAACAGGAATAACAAGAACAACAACAAGAACACGTAGCAGTGTCCATAATACGATGAGGAAGACGCATCCACAACTACTGCCACTTGTAAGGTATAAGCGGATCCATGCATGTACGGATGCATGAATGACATGAAACAATGACCGAATGAATGAAGCAACGAATGAATGAAACAATGCATGTATCTATGCATGCATGCATGCATGTATCCAGGGGGAGGTATCTATGTATGTATGCATGTATGTATGTGCGTATGTATGCATGTATGTACCCTGAAATGGAACACCTTGGCCCAAGTTCGCGCCTAGATCATGATGAAGCTGCACCTCCTCTGGCACTGGCGCATCTCCGAACATCGGGTGGCGCACTGGGGCGGTGGAGGTTTTGGCTTCGGGAGAACCGACTTTTCTGCGGGGATAGGCGACAGTGGGCATTGCGGTATAGGGATTTGGACAATGGTGCTTGGCTTTTGCGCATACAAAACATGAGCATATCAATAATAAGCCTAAAGCCCAAAACCTAAAGCATCATGCAGGCCCAAACCCTGTAAATCGTAAAGCTCAGACCCTCAAGCCTAAACCCAGACCCTAAAGCTCGAAGCCTAAAGCTCAAACCCTAAAGCCTATCCTTGGAAACCACGCGACAAAGCGAGCAAATCTACTGCAAGCTGTTTCGCATCAACCTGGCAGATGTTGGCTTCGAGCTGTGCGCAGTTCTTCGGTTCTTCGGACCAACAGAGGGCGGAACGGCCTCTGGAATAGAGCGTTCGGGCACATTCGAGCTTTTTTGTGTGCAAGCCGTAGCGTGAATGTCTCTTGAACTACAATGCCAAGCCTGGAGACACTAAGGCATAACTGTATTATAAAGCCAGAAGCCCACAAACCTGATTGCACCCTTAAAGGAACCCGTAAATAAAAGAACCGTTCATTAAGGGAGCTCTAAGTCTCCAAACCCTAAACCCGGAGCAATGAAGCCAATGTCTCAGTCTTCCGAACTACACGCTCAGTATTTCAAAAAGTGCCCTTAGAGAGGACTTAGTGACACGACCTTGCAAAAGCCAGTCGAAACACTACCCGAGAGCTCTAGAGCCTAAAACATGTTAAAAGCCCTCAACCCTTAGCCCCATGGCCTCCACCCCAATTTCTAACCCTTCAACCCTCCTGCACCCTAAACCCTTAACCCTATTACCCCTAAAACCCTAAACCCTAAGCCTCTATAACCCCTAAACCCGATGCCTTTCTTTCGTCGGTGAAGAACGAAGTCCAGGCGCTTCACCGGCACAAAAATGGGCCGCTGAGGCAAGTCCTTTCAGGGTTTACTTTAGGGGGTTTAGGGGCCTTTGGTGCTTGGGGAATTAAGGGTGTGATGTAAGTAAGGGCTCTAAGCTTTGGAGTTTAAGGATTCCAGGCTTAGCGTTCAGGGATTTAGGGTTCAGGGCTCTAGGGCTATAGGTCTAAGGTTTAAGCTTTCCTGCAAGGAAAAGGAACCTAATCAACAAGGCTCAATTAAGCAGTTTATGCATCAGCCTGCTGCGGCGTGCTCTGTGAAGATCCGGCACGTTCTCGAAGGGTTCCGTAAGGGGTCTCAAGAGTAACGGCACTTAGTGGAATTTACCTACCACAAAAAAGATAAAGGTCAACTAGTAAAAGTTCCCGGCCATGGTAACTTAAGTCAATCTATGTGCCTTAGCAAGGTCTCCTACAGGGTTTACCCGTTCAGTGTTCCAGGGGTTTGGATGTGGGGTATGTACAACATGTACCAGGTCTTGAGAAATGCTCGAGACTGGCAGAGACATGTCCGAAGTACGCGCTTTCACCAAGACATCGCATGCCGCGAGGAGCTCCTTATTTCGTCTCTTAAGGGAGGAACTCCGCCATTCCCTGAATCTCCGCAGCAGGCATGGGCTGTTTGATTTTCCATCGAGAGACTCGCCTCCTTCGTAGCTCTCCCGCACAAGGAGTTTCAACTTTTGGAACTTCCGCCGGCATGGCCGCGCCTGGGAATTCCCTTTGTCCTTACTACCATGATCCACCGAACATCCATTGCAAGCAGCTTACAGTTCAGGCAATGGATCGTGCTTTCCGAGAACACGGATACGCTGGGACATGATCGCAAAATCTGCACTGCGTCACCGCGGGAGTGCGAAATATTCCGCGTGTGCTTCGTACATGCATCGCGGAAGCAATAACCAAACCTCTTTTGTAACTCACTTCTTCATGCCCATGTGTACCGTACTGTTTGGAGACCAAGTCCGTACTAACCGTCTCATTGAGCCATTATGGAGCTCTCATCAAGCCTTCACGAATTCGCCTTTTTACCTACAAGCAATATCTAGGCGTGCTAAGCCCTTCATCCACCCTTGCACGAACCATGTTAAGCCATTCTGAAACCTCTACTTAGCCCTGACTCCCTGCATTTGGTCCTTCATAAGCCCTTACCAACATTCTGGGGCCCTTGCTTACAATTTACGAAGCCTTTGTTCAGTCGTTACTAGACGCGACGATGCTCACCGCGTCCTCCGGACGATCGTACTTGCCGTAATCCGGTGCATCGGGAATTTCCGGCTCCAGCCTCAAAGGTTTCGGGGTGGCTCGGGATGTAAAGTTCAGTGTTTAAACCCGGGGCCTTATTGTAGAGGGATGATATAAGCCAGTAGTACTATCCCCTTCCATGAAATTCCTCAAAACCCTATTCTAGGGGTTATAGGTATGGTTTAATGTATCTGGACTTCCAATAACTCATTGCTGAGATGTAAGAGCTTGATGAACTCTTCAACCGGCTAGGATTGCAAGTGACGTTGCTGGGCACTTTCCATCATCAGATCATTTGAACAGCGTTTGCACAGGACCAAAAGAATGGCTGGCTACTTTACTGCTCAGCAGAGATAATTAGTGTAACATTAGCGACCTGCCAACCAGCAATCGCATTCCGATGTAGCCGCCGTCGAGGCCAATTTGGTTCACAGAGCCCAGGGTTGCAGCCTGGGTTTGCCAGCCGCGCTGCTCGGTCGCAACTGACGACGCGAGTTAGCCGCGTAACCGCCTGTTTGGCAGCGCCGGGATTGTCAAGTTTCTCAGCGAGTTGTTGCGCCTCATGCTCCATCAATAAACTGCCGGTGCAACTTCACTGCGGCCAGACTTTCAGCACACTGGTTTCACTACATCGGGTTTGTTTGGTTAACATAAACTAAGCCGGTGGAACTGGACGCTCGCCATGATTAGCTACCCCAAATCCCCAAACCCTCAACCCATGATTAGTGCCTAAGTTGGCTGACATGACTCAGAGCCTCCCTCCGAGGCGTGAAACTCAATGCAAACTGATCGAAGTGTGGCAGTCAAGAGTTTGGGTATTTCTCCAAGTCGACATGCCAAAAGGATCCTACATAATAGATAGTTACCTGCTTTCCTTGATATTTCAAACAAATTAGAGGAGGGAGGTACTGATTTAAATACAATTGTGTCAGGACTGCAAGGGGATATTACTACTTATTCTGAATTCCAAGCCCCATATTGTTAGTATCCTAAACCAGATCTTAAACTCGAAACGGCCCCGACAAGAACTTCCTCTAGCCAAACTCTCACCGGACAAAGGCCCCTTCTGTCTCCTTCCCAGTTCGTGCAGTTCCACCGCGCCATGTATGTCGAAATACCGTTTCGGGTTTCGGGAGGAACAACTTTGTCATCAGGTTCTGCTTTGAGTTAAGGAGACAGCTGCTACGCATCTTAAAGCTCGTCTGCGCCACAGGACCAGCTAGGTCAACGGATCACAACTGCTGCAGGAACCCGCCTGCTGCAGGAACCCGCCGGGTTGGAGCCTCCCTAAGCTTCAGATTCCTGTCATTGCTCGTTTAAGGTGCAGTCGCAGGAACACCCCCAGCCAGGTGAACAAATGCTCGTGTCGAATGAACCTCAAACTATATGAAAACCTGACCGAAGCCCGAGAATCCAAAGCCTGCGCGCCAAAATGTGAAACCCCCAAAGTCCTCAAGCCCTTGGGCTCAGGAAAACCTTCGGTGCCACCCAGCGGCCCCCCTTCCTTTGGCACTGTCCTCGGCAGTCGATGGTTTAAGACGGATTCTCAGGACAGGGTCCACCCCAATTAGAAAGTACTATAGACACCTGAGTAACAACCCCCGTTTCTTCAAAGGCAAGAGTATCACGTTCCGGGTCAGTCCCATGTAAGGCAGTACCATTCTTGAGCACGCTTCTGACAACCCGAAAGCCTGCATCCACCACAAACGGTTCGGTTGCATCTGCCAGTGTAAGATCCGTCACTGCGGGCTCATGGTTGAGGCTGAGGCGTTTGGGCGTTGCCTCGGCTAGGCAATACAATCAGTGAAACCTGCACCAAACGTCAATGTACCATGAGTTGTTCACCAACACCGTCATCTCCTAGTGACGGGTTTTTTTTGAGGGACTTATGCCTGAAATGCTAGCCACATGCCAGCGTATATCCCCAAACACTGACAGAGCACCACGGAAGGGCATGAAGACCAAGCCCACCACCTAAAGACCACCATGAGAGAACCAGGAGACACCACCAGAAGACGACAAGGAAAGTACCAAGGAGACATGAGGAGACCCCAAGAGACCACCCAAAGAGCACGAGGAGACCAGTAGGAAATGACCCACCATCAGCAAACCACCAGGAGAACACAAGCATGTCACGGTCAAGCTGCACACGATCCTTTCACCGAATGATGGCGGATTCAGGGGCATGGCAAAATCCTTTTTGCCAAAGTATTGTCGGGATTCAAGAGGACGGCCAAAAGGCAAGCACTGGCGAGATTCAGAGTTTTCGGACGGGCTCGAAGGGTGCAAAATTCTGGGAAAAAGCGCAAAATGTGCACTGCACCTCCGCCTGAGCTGCGTCCCATGAACGCTTTCCGCGGCACACCGTGAGGCCACACCAACCACCAATTCTGTTTGGGTTTACTTAACTTTAGAATCCCATGGCGGTGCTGTACTGCTTCGGGAATAAAACTCAGAACAACTGGTAATGTAATCCCCGTGTAGTCCCACGTTTCATTTCCCAGAACCTTAGTTGCCTTAGTCTGTTCTTTGATGCCCCTCCAGCAAACTTTAAACTTAAACCCCATCAGCCCCACACCATACAAACCCTATAAGCCCTAAACACTTACACCTTAGAAGCCCCACACGCCATAAACCCTATAAGCCCTAAACCCTATAAACCCTAAACACTACAAACACCAAGAGTCTCAGCTCCGGACGGCTTTCCTCCGAAGCTGAGCTTGACAGGCAATGAGGAGGACAGCAGCCTCTGCTCTTTAACTCTTGAGGATAAAAGGCTTACAGTAAACCCCATGAAGTTGGAAACCGGGTCAAGGCCGAATAGTGCTGGGGTTCCCTATACATGACTCTTAAGGATTGAGGCTATGAGGTTTCCGACTTTTAGGCTTCTACCCTAACCACGACTACAGACTGTGATTTTTCCATGGCAGCGTACTTGAGCAATCTTGGTCTAGCTGAAGGTTCACAATTGGGTGGTTTCGGGCTTCGCAGTCTTCGGGTCGAGATGAATGCGATGAGTGTCGGGCTGTTAGGGACGGGGTGCGAGGCACAATGCTTGGGGTTTAAGAGGTTTCAGGGCGACATCTCAGTTCGGACTCTCGCTATAGACTGCTGCTGTAAACATCTTATTACTAGGTCGAAACTATCTGCCTTGCGCAAGAAGGTTTGAGGCAGCACCTGTGTGTGTGTGTGTAACTATGAATGTGGCTGTATATATGTATGTGTGTATGAGATGAGATGAGATGACATGAGATGAACCGAGACGAGATCAGGTGAGATCAGAGTAAAGTTCCATACATAGAAGGATAGATACAGACGTCCAAACGCTTGGCACTACCGGGCTTCGCACGGTCCTACCATACGGAAATCAAGCTGCGCGTGTAATCAAGGGACGATACGGCAACCTCAGATCGCACGAAGTTGTCCAACAATGTGTCCAGAGTTTAATTCAGGGCCTTGACGAATAGAATGCGGTGTTGGGCATCACGCAGTAAGATTGTAAGAAGGAGCCCTAAGGAACAGTATCGGCAGCTATCAAAGCCCCTGCATATCATTATTCGGTCCTGATCCTATTTAGATCCGGGCTTGTCTCACCAGCGACGAGGGACCTCAGGGTCTTAGCTATAGTTGCTCGGCATTTTGCGTTGGGTTGCTCGCGTGTCTTAGGGTTCGTCTCGGGTTTTGGGTTCAGGGTAGGGTGTAATGTAGCCTACAAAGCACACAAACCCAAAGCCCAAACCCTTCAAGGATCAGCTGAGCGGCTCTTTCTTGCTACCCAGAAAAGGCGTGACGTGGAGCCTGCGTAGACATGTGTTTTGGGGTTTCAGCTGTGGTTTTAGCAATAGCAGCACACTTGCAATTGCGAAAATTTCAGAGTCATAATAAATACAAAAAAGGTCTCATATCATGATACCACCTGCAATCGTTGCAATCAGTATCTTGAATGCTCTCGGTCGGTACTAAAAACTAAGCAGCTGCAACCACTATGTGCAACATAAGCCATCCTTTTGGCAACATCTGTAAGGCCTCAGCTCTGATCAAGTTTCAGCCACTCAAAACGGTCTTCTTCAATGATTCGAGATAATGCAGGGTCTAAAATTGTATGAGAGCCCAACCAGTTTAAAGTTTGAGGGTTCGAGACATGAGAAGGGGCCTGAATCAGTGGTGACCCCCGCAATGTTGGGCGATCGCCGTGGGCTGAAGTGTCATCCTAAGCACTCCTTCGAATATGAATAATTATGAATATATATATATATATATATATATATAATATCTGTGGCTTGGTGACGATTCGTGAGAATTGCAGAATCAGCGCAGCGAGCTGATACGGGGAAGCATGAGGGGATGGGATGGGTTGGCAGATGGGCTAGGTCCGTAGGATTCGCCGGATTGCTGGCTTCCTGGCGAAAGCAAACTAGGCGAAGCATGCATTGAGTCAGAAACTCAGTCCGAAATATTCAATAAGACAACAAGTTCTGAGGTGGCAAACATCGAACATGGTTCATTCGCTTGACAAATCGCAGCGACATCTTCAATGTCCAATGTGCACGATGCAGAACACCCAGCAATTCTTCAACGACTGGTTGTATAAGACACCCGCTACCCTAGTCTCCGAGGGTTGGGCTCAACAGTACCTAGACAGCAACCCCGTGAAGGCGTAAGTACATACTGAAGGGGGTACATGGGGCGCGAGGATGCATAAGCACGGTTCCCCGAAGGTGCAACTGCATCTGCACAAACTGTTGAACATTGGCAATATGGTGTAATGCAGGGGTCTTCAGGATTAGAATGGGGTTCTGGAGCATAAACATGCAAGTTAATCGTCAGGATTAGTTAGTATCACTACTTATTCAGGCTTCTATTAGGGCTTACCTGAAAAACTACAAACCTAAGGCCGGCTGCCTTCCACCTCCTACCATTGATTTCCAACTGATCCTGGGCCGCCACAGAGCTTCAATCCGTAGGGCTCGCATAGGGTCCGGCTGTTTTGATTTTGTTTCACATCCTTCCTAGGCTTTTGGCAGGATTCTGATGGGGTCTCACAAGGTTTTGAAGGCTGTTGCCGGGTGGTATCAGAGCCAAAGGCTTGAGTCCTAGGTGTCAAGATACCGATCTGAATAAAACTCTCTGATCGGATATACATACCAATTTCTACTATTTAAACAGTCCTTCCCCGCTTAGGAAGTTCAGGGTGAACGGTAGGACGACTCAGGGTTCAACTACTTTTCGGCCGCACAGGACAAGTCTTGTAAGGATTCCGAGTCCGACCGCGCATTACTTACCTTTGGTTAGTAGGGAATGGAAGAATGGTAGTAATAGTAGTTATAATTGTACACCGTTCCTCCATTCCCTACTAACCAAAGGTTACCTCAATCTTGGACTGCTGCATCCATCACTACGAGGCCCTGGGCCCCAAAAATCAAGCGGACCGAGCATTTAACTCTGTATACCCCGAATGTAGTAATGTCCTCGGATAGACGCTACAGGCCTGTTTAGGATTGCAAGATTTTGGGCTGCGAGGTTTTGACCTTAGAGGTTTGGTTGTGTGTTTTAGCAGATAGTTTTGAGCAATGAGAAAAACAACCTATGGCATTCCCCACAAAGCCCTACGGCTCAAAAACCTACCTACCCCCCCCCCCCCCCCCCCACACCACGCACACGCTGATACTGCCTTGGCGGCTTCGGACGGAGGACCCTGACTGGGTTTGGGTAAGGTTTAAGGCTTTGCGTTTGGGGTCCCATGCAATCACGGACTACAATCTTCACGGAAACAGCTCTCAACCATACAAAACTTTCAGCCCCTCTACATGACATCTGAAGCCTAAAGCTATAGACCCCACGCCTAAGTGCCTAAGCTCCTGAAACAGTAGCCGAGAGGCAGCTGCAGCCCTTGGCGTACCACCCGCTCTGGATGACCAAGGCCTGCATCTTCCTGAAAGCGCTGAAATGGAGGTTTCCGAGAGTATACTTTAGTGCTAGTAGAAGGGTGTGGGGTTTAGGGGTTACTACAAGGGTCTTTTAAGGGTGACTATAGTGGAAGTGTGAAGGTTACTGTAGGGGTACTACTAATTTAATGGAAGTGTCAAGGTTGCTACAAGGGTGCTATAAGGCCATTAGGGTAGCATGTGAGGGTCTTTATACTGAAAGAGCGCGGCATAGCGCGGCATTGTCAAACCCTGGCATTTGTTGGAGGACCAATCCTCTGGATCCTGGTTGCCTGAGATGGATAACGATCTCATGATACAGTGCATGATTAAATGTTTAAAGGGAATTCGGATTGATCAGGATTTCGGGTTTGGCGGTTGTGGGGGTTAGAATGATCGATTTGACTGAGATGCGCTACAAGCAACAACTTCTATCATAAAGAGAACTTCGACTTAAAGGGTTCAGGTTCCGGGTTTAGAGGCAGGAGTATGATTTCATGTTCCGGAAACTCAGTGCCCTAAGCGCATCCTTCGGATCCCGGCATTCCATCTTTCCCAAATAAACCCCTTGCCGTGAACTGGACCTTAGACCTCCTGACACTCATCTCTCTGCTTGCACTCTAAGTAGACCCCCGAATCCCTGATAGATCCTTACTGGCACATGTTTTAAAATTCGGTCAAAGCCGCAATAGCAACACACCCTATACCCCAAAACCGAAAAAACCTGAAGCTCGACAACCGTCACCTTGACAACGCCGACAACACCAAACCCGAAAACCTAAAGCCCCAAACCCGGATGGTAGACCCTAAACCCTAAACCCTGTAGATCCCCTTAAGGAACCCTATAGATCCCTTTTAAAATAGAAACCCTTTAAGAAACCCTTACTTACCAAGGCCCCAATGGACCTGCACCCGCATGAAGTTGTTGAGCACTTCATTCGCTAAGAACTTGAGGTCGCTCGGGGTGTCCACAGTCACGGTGACCGCCTCTTTAGGTCTGGGGCGTATTACGGTTTAGGGTTTAGGGTTCCGGGTATGGGTTTTAGAGTTTATAAGGGTCTAAGGTTTTCTCCCTTTTGTGCAGAACCTAGGCTTGTGGGGCTTACGAGGTTAATTCATAGTTCGGGCCTGCCAAACTTTGTTGTAGGAGTTTCTCTTTGGGACAGTTTCGGAGTTTGTGTTGTTTCAAGAGGGCACCAGGGTTTGGGGAGCTTACGGTGTGGATCAAGGAGGGTTCGGTTTAAGCTGGGCGGGTGTTTCGCTCGGTTGAGGTCCAGGGCTGCAGATCCACAACCCACCAACCCCAACCAGAAAACATCAAGTCTGAGCAAACACAATCACTGACAACACACAAACTCTAAACCATCAAACTCTCAGCTCAAAACGACCAAAACGAACCTGAAGAGCTTTATCAGAACAACACGCAACATCCCTGAACATATAACTAAGGCAGTATCCAAGAAAAAACAAGGATTCTGGAGGAGGCACCGTCCACATTTCTATGGGGGATATTCGGGCCAGCCTTCCCTCCAGGATTCCCTGACAAATGGTCGATCCCTCTGGGGGGCGCGCGTTGGGCACATTCCAGCGGTCGTAGTATCCCTTGTTGGCCCGCAGAAGATGCACTTTTGAAGCAATAGGCGGATCGAACGCCGGATAATAGGAGACCTCAGTTCACGGGTTCAGAAACCTAGACGTGCTTTGTGGACTGCTCGGGACCGCAATAGTTAGAATAAGGTCTTGAGGCCGGGTGTTGAGTTTAAGCTTGAGAACCTTGAAATATAACTTATTGTAATGGGTTGACACAAACAAAACACGAACAAACATCATCACCGTGGATCAAGGTAATCTGGATGGCACTCCCAACTGGACGGAACAAACAACCAAGAACACAATAAACCATGCCGTGAGAGTAATAAACCCTAAATCCTAAGATGCTTTTCACCACAGCTCTCTGTGCGCCTACAAGCCCTACAAACCCGAAACCCCACTTCCCCCAAACCTTAGAAGCCCCACAAAAGCGGAACCCTGCAATTTTGAACCTCGAAGAGACCATATACAATCTGTATACCGCCAATTCCCAAAAACCTCAGACCCCAAACCTACACCGTAAACCCTACAATCTCTCAGCCTCCAAACCCAAACCTAAAGACCCAGTGATCCTCTTCGCCGCCTTGGATCGAACCGCCGTCTTCGACTTTGTTGCCCAACTCCGACTCTAACTCCCAGGTATCCCAGGTCTCCCAGCCAAGAATAGCCGTGGTGTGTCTGCTCGTGCACATCCCAACGAATCCTTGGTCCTTGTCTGGGCTGGCCGGTGCAAAAGGATCACGGCACCGCAGCTCCCATTCGGGCTTCCACATCGGAGTGGGGGCTCGCGATGAGCGAATCCGCGTCGTGATTAAAGCGACTTGGCCCCATTCATGAGCACGAGGCATGAACATGGCGGGAAGAGCTCCGATCTGGGCTCCGAGATCAGAAGCCAAGAGCTCGTCCCATGTCTTCGTATGCAACTGCAAGACATCCGGCTGGGTCTGATCCTCTTTGACCCATCGTGCGCAAATGCCGTCCTGCCACGATTTGCCATTTGTCGACGCGACGTACATCACGGTGTGGCAGGCTGTTTGTTCAACCTAAAGTTCAGGAACCCAGTCCAACCACTCTTCCGCAGTTTTGGCAACTAAAGGGGCGAAGAGAGCCCAGGAGAGTAGGAATACCAGGAAAATGAACTCGAACCACGTCGAGAAAACAAGAAGGAACATGTCAGTAAAAGCTTAAATCAGGCAAATCAGGTCGCGACAAACAATGTAAGCATAGTTTGGTGGTAGCAAACGTGTTTTGTGAATTGTTGGCTGGCTTTTCTCTGGCTTTTTGCCTAGCACCCCTTCTGAACCCGTCTGTCTGTTTCTAGTTGTTGTACTGAGCGTAACAAACCTAAAATATTCAGAAAGGAGCTGATGCGAAGCAAATAGCCCTAAACCCTGAGAAACCCTACACGTCCTAAACACAAAGACACCAAATCCAAAAACTAAGCCCCCAAAACCCTACTGCACAAATCCTGAAACCCAAAACCCGAAGCCATACCAACCCAAATCCCTAAAAACCCGAAGCCCGACAACAACTGTGCAGACCCTAAACGCAAAACCCCAAACCCTAAAACTTACCCTTGAAAGGTAAGAAAAGCCCTGAACCCTAAAGCCTGAACCCTAAACCCTAAAGCCCTGAACCCTAAACCCTAAACCCCAAACCCTAAAAGCCCTGAGCCCTAGAAACCCTGAGCCGCTGCCCAGCAGCGTCCGGGAAGTCCACTGGGACTGGATTCGACTCCTTCTCCTTGGGTTTATAGGGTTTAGGGATGTTTAGGGTTTAGGGTGAAATACTACTACTACTACTACTACTACTACTACTACTACTACTACTACTACTACTACTACTACTACTACTACTACTACTACTACTACTACTACTACTACTTCTACTACTACTACTACTACTACTACTACTACTACTACTACTACTACTACTACTACTACTACTACTACTACTGCTCCTCCTGCTCCTGCTCCTGCTCCTGCTCCTGCTACTGCTACTGCTACTGCTACTGCTACTGCTACTGCTACTGCTACTGCTACTGCTACTACTACTACTACTACTACTACTACTACTACTACTACTACTACTACTACTGCTACGGTCGTGCGCCCCGAAACGCATGGCTGATTTTGTTGGTTAGATAAACTGTTTTTTGGCTTTTGTGTGCTTCCGTGCGAAAGGCGATAAGTCAACTTCATATGAACTACACTGAGATTGTTTCGGCAACCCTAAGAATTCAGGAGACACTGAACGAATCTATGACCAGGATGTCCGCGAAGATACCCCCTGAAATGACAGTTCGGAACCCTTGCTAAGTCCCTTTGTCTGTCCTGTAAGCTCTGGACACTGAGCCGCATCCCTTGAGCGCCGAAATAGCTTCACAACCACAGAGGCGAACACAAAAAGACCTGAAAGCCCCATCAGCTCACACCCACGGAGTCGGAGCCATTTAGCTTCAGGGGTGAAGGCTGAAAGAACGACAAGCAATACACCCTAAACAGGAGGCCCTGAAGCCCAGCTCACCCACGTCCATCCGAGCATCTCTCTTTGCACCCTCGCCAAGCTCGCCATCAATCTTTGGGACGGCGGGCTTCGGCTGCGCCCACCAGAAGCCACCACAGTAAGGCTCAGTGCCTTTGATTTGATTCGGGTCTACGGAGGCTTGTGCTTCGGATTTAGCGGTTTAACGGTGGTTTGCGCTTCAGCTTGAAAAGTACTGGTCCTTGCAGTGCTGATGGTAGCCGCAAGTCCCTCTGGGGCACTGGGTGTCTAAGTCTAGGAGCCTTTTATTTCTCTGCGTTATACCTTGACCCACTCCTACTCCTGCTCCTGCATAATCTCCGATTCTCCTCCTACCACTTACTGCTACTACTACTACTACTGCTGCTGCTACTACTACTACTACTACTACTACTGCTAAGACTGTGACCCGATCCCCTAAACCAACCTTTGCCAGTCTTACACTCTGAACCGGCTTCTTCGCTGGAGCCAGCGCCTCCAACGTTCAACTAGGGGTCGATTTCAACAGTCCCCACCAAAACTATTCATAATTAGGGTTTAGGGTTTAGGGTTTAGGGGTGAAACAGTGAGGAAAATTAAGAAATACACCAAATCGATACCTAGTCAAGCTTGCGGAACACTTACATGGTTCGGTTGGCTGCAGGATTCAGCAATGAGACCACCACTCCGAAACACTAAATCCGAAAAGCACTGGATATCCTACTTGTCGAGTATCCTGGGGAACTAAAGCTTAACCTTGGGGAGTATATTGGGATTATGCGATGATGATAGTACCTTAACAAATTTAAAGGTTACCCGCCCTACTACAAGGATGTAACAAGCAGAGAACAGGGCAGCCGCGGTGCAGACCGGTTTGATCGCTGAAGCTGCATGGACATCGTGGCCATGTCGCGCCTCCACCTGGCTCCCAGAAAACCGTAAAGTTTAGGGATTTAGGGTATCTAGGCTTTAGGGTTCACCACGGAAAATGCCTAAAAACCTGACGTGCCCTAAGCCCTAAACCATTAAACGACCTGACTAAAATCCTCTAAAACCCTAAACCCGGGGACAGGCTTAGGCTTAGTCAGTCCAGATAGCAGCTAGTCTACGGCAAGGGCTTGTTTGGGCACGTTATCTATTTCCTGGTGTTGGTGTATGTCAAGTCAAGTCCTCAAGGAGATCATCACCCAGAAGAGTGCTTAAAAGGCGCTGAATTGGATCGTTATGCTTTTCCTGGTTACGATGACGACGAGGAATTTTGTTTTGTGTATGCTATTGCTATTTGGGTTGCCTAGGCTTGCCTCCCGGGCTTTTGCTCTTCGAATGCAGCCCCTCAATCTTGGTCTTCAAACTAGTTCCTCAATCCTGCAGTCCTTTCGGCCTGTAACTGTATCCTTTACTTGAGAATCCTATCCAGTGCAGACCTGAACCCGAAACTCTGAGAACCGCAGACGACCCCTAACCCGAAGAAGGGAGGCAAAGAAAAGCTGAACCCTGCACCTTCGAGCCCACGGCCAAACCGTCCTTGAAACCAAAGCCCCAAACCCTAAGCCTTGACGCATAACTTGCCTCCCCTTCGAGGAGGTGTGTGGCGCTGGCCACGAGCTGGCCCAAATTCACCATGGCTAGAATGAGGCATTCGGGGCCGAGGGGGGGGGGGTGTACGAGATGCAACAGTTCTTCTTCAAAAGAGCTTTGCCTTATGTTTTAATGCTACGAAATGGTGCCAAGTAAGGCTAAGGCTGAGATGGCTAACAGGTTTCGGCTTTTGGGCACAGGGAGTGGGTTCGAGTCTGGGACTTGTAAGGGACCGGAAGACAGCGGCGTAAGGTTTGCAGGATAGGGTTATGGGCTTGGGGAGTTTTGGATGCTCAAATTGATGTTCCGGGGTGCATGGGCACGGGGATGTGTCAGTCTTCACAGCGGCTGAGAGAAAGACTGCCTTCATGCCCTCAAAATAGCTTGACAGGACCTGAAGTGTCGGGTGGGCAACCTACATACATGGGTAGTTTTCTGAATTGTGGTCCCTTTTAGCGTCCTTTTATAGAAGGGTTTTGGGACCTAAAAAGGGGCCTTTGTTTAGAGAACTCCTTGCATCCTGCAAGCTGCGATTCAAGCCGTGGGGCTTGGGCGTTCAGGGTCAAAGTTTGAGGCGTAGAAAGCGGCTTAGGATTTAGGGGGTTTAGGGTTTAGGGTATAGGGGGTTTAAGGTATGGGGGGTTTAGGGTTTGGGGTATAGGTTGAGTTCAATGTGCACGGTTTGGGGCCCAGTGGATCATGCTTTTTACTGTAAACTTTTACTCCCTCGGAGGTAATGGGAGCCCAAAAAAGCACCAAAACCAAATCCGATGACTGTCAAGTGAATTCTGCGTACTTCTTCGGCCCGAATACGCATTCTGCGTATTCCAATTTCGGGCCAATGCCTCAACCTGCAAACCCTAAACCTGTAAACCCTAAAGATCTAAAACCACATCTCAAAACCCTCAAACCTATCGTAGCCCTTACAGTAGCTCTTCTAGTTTCCGTTCAAGGAACCCTGGAAGAAGCACTGAATTGGGCTAGCAAGCAAAGAAACGCAACCTACATCATCGCTGAACCATTCAGTCCCCAAACCTTTCGAGGATAGCTTAGCGGGGGGGCTTACCCTGTAATAGTGGTATAATAGGAATATAATAGGGCCCTAATACAATCCGTATAGTCACTATTACAGGGTGGGGGCAGCTTCTAAACGATAGCTCCAGAGTTGACATTAAATGGAGCTGAGCAGGGTTCCAGACGGGTTATGCATGATTCCATAAGGGTTTTTGGTGGTATAAGGGTTTGTACAGGGTGGCTGAAATGTTTCCGAGTTCAGGGCTTCGCACTTTCAGGGCCTGAGACTTAAACATTGGCGCATAAGAACAGCGAGTACTGTGCCATGGTTTGCCAGAACCTTCGCGTCTATCCGGCCATATCTGGCTCTTCACATGGTCTGCAGGTCATACAAGCCCATTTATAGTCTCAATACGAAGATAGTTCAATTTGTAAAGTGTAGCAAAAGACCCCGTTCTGACTTTGTGGGCCATTGTATTACCCATAGCCTCCATAGTAGTTCCTGTTTGGGATTACCTTATAGGGTTCTAAATATGAACCAGAAGAAGGAACTACTATGGAGCCCCTAGGTAAGTCTCTGGCTTGCCCTGGGTTGAATCAAAAAGAAGAAGGCGACAGGCTAAGCAAAGCTCGGCAAATGTCGCTAACACGCAGGATCCTAAGTACCAGCTCGATAGTATATGCATTCATAGTACGGATGCCCTGCTTCCTACTGTTTGTGGTGGCGCTTAGGATTCTCTGGAAAAGCCTGCCAACTTTTCAAGCGCACGACTGCCTCAACTTTGCAAGGCCACCAAACACACTGTCGATCCTAGTGTAGGAGCGTGAGTCATTACCAATACCATTCCCTAGGGTTCCTTAATTTTTAAAAGCATACTATCATATACCCCCCAAACCCCAAGTATTCTGAATATGAAGGCCCTTATGTTAGACCCATCAGCCTCAGTCTTGCCATTGCAAATTACCTTTGCGCTAGCTGGAGCCCTCACAAGCGCAGGTAATGGCCTTCTACGGGCTAGTACGATTGAACCCAGAAGCCCAAATCCCCTACGCCCTGAGCCTCTGACACACTCCGAAACCCTAACCTACAAGTCTTCACTTGTCTTTGTTTAGGGTTAGGGTTCAGGGTTGAGGGTTTGGGGTTACAGTCCTTCACTTCAGTGCCATCTCCGAAAGAAGGGCGGCACTTTCACAGCCCTTCGCCTGCCACGGCCGGGTGTCGGAACCCTAAACCCTCAACCCTAAGGCTCAAAGGCCCGAAGGGTTTCAGGGATTCTAGGGCGGAGGGACTTTGGGGCTTGCAACATTGAGGGTTCAAGGTTTCGGGGCTTGCGGCTTTTAGGCCTCAGGGGTTGTCGATTCTCTGCCTTTGGGTTTCAGCTTTCAGGAATTTGGTGCTTAGGGCTTTGGATTTGGGGTCCTGCGCCGCTGGGAGTGGACGTCGGCTGTAACCTGGCAAACTGAAAGTACTGCATGCCACTGCTCTAGCCATACCCACATATACTTCTTTTCGGCTGTTCGGGTTTTGACGAAGTAGAAGATCCAGCACATCGCGGCGGTGTGGGAAGAGAACCACCACACACCTTCAAATACCCTCAAACGTACACACTAGCGTAAACCCCTAACATCCTCGAATAAACTCCTATCTTGAACTTCTGGTCCAGAGCCATGCGTCTGACATGCTGAGCAGGTCTCCCGAAGGCCTGCTGAGTTTTGAAATCCAATGAGCCGCAACATATCCATCGTGCAGGTTCATTCGGAGGCTATATTAACAGCAAAAGTGTTAAGTGCACGAACAAAGCTGCCAAGATTCACATTGTTCGGGGGCTCAGCTTCAGCGCAGTATGAACAAGAGTCAGCAACTCTGTCTGTAGCTACTCGTATCGCCAACGGATGCGAAGATGACTCTTACTTCAACCTTCCCTTCAACCCATGTAGACCCCGCTTAGGGTTTCTGGGCAGCACATCAAGTAAGCTTTCAGCGGCCAGCGGGATTAGGGTTCATAGTATGCCGGGGCTTTAGGGTTGGAGTAGTGCTCAAGCCCCATGTGTTCTTGGTATCCTGCTGCACGACGTTTAGGGGAACATGGTCGGCAATCATCTCTGCAACCCGCTTACCGGTGTATGTCTGCATGAACGTATGCCTGCCAACTTACCTGGATGTATGTACGTATATATGCGTGCATGCATGCATGCATGATTTTTTATGCGTACAGCATCGTGGATCTTTAGGATCTGTCCTCCTTTACCTAGCAAAGTCGATGCCTTTGCATCGTGGAAAGTTTATAGTCAAAGTGAGTATTTATATGTGCACCTATGTGTGTATGATCGTATGTATAACATGTATATGTGCATGTGCAGGCGTGTAGATGGGTATGTGTGTATATGAGTACACGTCCATGTGTGTCCGCGTGTACGTGCATGTGTGCATCGTGGACGTCGGGCTGTCCGTCTGTCTGTCTCTCTGCCTTTGTGTCTTTGTGTCTGTCTGCCTGCCTGTCTGCTTGTTCTCTGTATATACATCTACATATATGGCTCTCTCTCGCTTGCTATTTATCTACATGCTTGTGTGCTGTTTCTTCCTTGAAAATTGCGTACGAACCTGCCTGAAGCCCTATACACAGGTCTGTGGAACAGTTCGTCAGATATCTCATGGTGTGTAGGCATATGTACGCAACGCCAACATCTGCCACCGTTGCCTTTTCTCCACATTGCACTTGTGTTGCAGCGGCAAGAATGCCAATTCTTTGATGTCGTTCAAGTATTGTGATGTGTGCCATGGCTCATTGCCGGCAGCGCAGGCAGCTATCAGGAATGCATAGGTGATGACCTGAGTGGTCTGTAGCACTCAAGACGTCTCGACAGGACAAAATATAAATCCAATCAACCTTAAGCCGCCTAGACGGAAGGGTGGTATCCTTCATGAGGCTGAGAGCCACCCCGTACAAGCCGTAAACCCTCATGTGCAGTACGGCTGTGGGTATACGGCTTGGGGCTGAAGGAGTATCACTCTAATCAAGTCGGGCTTGCAATTGCTTCTTGCTGGAAAGCCCTGCTGCAATCAAGTATAGCAGCCCCTTGTAGTCCGTGTGAAAGTGTTTTCAATGAACCCAAACCCTGTGAAAATGATAAAGGCCGTTACACAACAAAAACTCTTACCGAGTGGTCTGGGCTTTGACTGCGGCCCAAGAGCATCGCCACGCAGGAGAAGTTCGCGTGCATCTGCCAGCAACTGAACCGCTGCTTGCCAATGCTCCCCCAGAGCACCTTTTCTGAGGCATTCTTGTGGTCTTGTAGGGCTCTAGGGGCTCGTGGCCTAGCTTTAGGGGTTCAGGGTCTCTGTAGGCCTCTAATGAGCCTCTGCTGCATGAAATTCATTGGAACATGCATCGGTATACTTCTGGGAGGAAAGAAGAAGCAGTCTTGTGATTCCAGGCCGTCAAGCTATGCCCAATGCGCGGCCCAAGCACAGGCACCCACGGCAGAGCTGAAAGTTACGACATCCGCCTGGAGATGTGCTTGCTGCAAGCAGCCTAAAAGTGGAAGCGCCCTTTGCCACTGAGAACTTCGTCCACAGGCGCTGATGGCAGCACTGTAGGTGAAAATGTCCCCCTGCAGAGTCGTCTCCCGCAACTGCTGAAGCAGATGCAAAGCTTGGCGCCACTCTGCTGCATTTTCACAAGCACCAAGGGCCGCATTGACGGCAAACAAGGTCGTCGGCACCTCAGTGATCGTTTGGGGTTTTTCGGCTACAGGGTTTGGGGCTTTATGTTCAGGTATCAGGGATTTATGGTGAGGGGAAGTCACATGAGGGCCTTTAAGACACTCGACACGATGCCCAGGCACAGCAAGTTGAACATAAAAGCCACTGGCACTGGCAGACAAATCAAAACACAGAAGTTTCCAAACTAAGAACGGCGAACAACGTCTGTTGAAACGAGTTCACTACATAGAAAAGCAGGAGCGTTGGCATTGAACCCTGCTGTTGACAATCATTCCCGCAAGAAAAGCGCGCAACGCCAACAACCCTAAGACCAATACGGGGAGAAAACCGGCAATGATGCATGTGAAGCCAACAGCCATGTAACAACAGCAGCTACGACTGCGACGAAAAGGGCGACGACACCAGTACAGCACCGTACGGGAACAAGCACGAGAACCACTGCAAACGTCAAGCGAGCAGCAGCCGCAACTCCTACTCCTACTCCTATTCCTACTCCTACTACTACTGCTACGACGACTACATCTGCCACTACCTGGTTAACAACCACTAGTAATATTTTTTGCTAAGTATGATGAAGATGGTGTTGACCATGACTCAGTGTGATGTCGACAATACTGCATAGCTGAGTCAGCTGCATGCTGTGCAGGAAGCTCTGCCAGCAAGCCCAAAGCTCGCTCCCACTGTTCCTTGATTCCACACAGACATGAAAAAGCTGAAATTCCAGAAAGGTGACGATTCATAGAACCCGAAACCCCCCAACCCTGAAAACCTAAAAGCACACAAAAGTCGGGTACTGGAAAGCAAGGGTGCCGCCCGCCCGCAGGCACGCATCGTCGTTTCCATCGTCGTTGCATCGCTGTCGACTGCATCCGAACGAAGAAATCCTAGTACGAGCAAGGCCTGCTGCCACTCCGCACCCGCTTCACAGGCCGCCAAGGCAGCCTTACTTAAAGGGATCAGGAGACTTAGCAAGTGCGGATATACATCAAGCAGCTATATAACTACGTAAAGCTACGACCACTGCTTATTACACATAAATGTTGTATCTAGAAGTCGACCTATCACTTGTCATGAACCCCTAAATTCTCATTAAAACCCTATAGAACACCGCGAAACAATCTTTACAAACATCTCGAGCCATAACTACACATGAGGCTTGACAAACCCGCTTTGTCACACGGGCGTCGTGCTGTCAACAAACTTAGGGTTGCGGTACACTATACTGACAGTGAAAGCTATACTCCACAGCCATAGCCATCAAGCCTGGACTATGGTTAATGGTCCTTGCACTTTGGATCCGCAAGGCCACGGTTCACAACAGACCTCGGGCTTGCTTGGCCCCTTGGCCTGGGAAACTTCCGACGGTTTAGGGTTTAGGGTTTAGGGGTTTTGGGTTCCAGGGTCCAGGATGTACGTGCTACAGGGTGCCAAAACCAAGCATGTCAAGGCCCAAGCAGCGTTGTAAGTTATGACATTGCAGCTGTGCCGTCGTCGGCAATGGAGCAAGAGGCACAGAGAACGTTCCCACCTCCGCTCGTTTCTTGCAAAGTATTAAGGGTCTCAATCATTCGCCTACGGTTTCGATGTAAATTGTGTGTTTAAGCAAGTTGTAGAGGCGCTGTTGAAAAGCATACGAGTAACAGTCCTTGAACCCGCTATCCCTATCGTATCCAAGCGACCCTGCTTGCTCTTACCTTCGCCGAAAGCCTACGGAATCCCAGATCCGGATAAGCCGACGGCTTTAGGGTTTTACGGCTGAGCTCTGTTCCAAACTCTAGTCCCAAAATCAAAGAATCCGGCCTGAAAGCGTAAACTGCAACACCATTGAAGCCTTGCACCCTGATGAGCCCAAGAAACCCAAAGACATCTCTATACTTAGTTGGGGAATCTACCCTAAATCCCTCTATTTCCTGGTGCTTATTCCAAATTGGGTTCTCCAGATTTCCTCCGGACAAGCGAAGCGGCTGCGTCGCTTTCTGGCAGGCGCTAATGGCAGCGCTGAAGGTAACAACCTGGCATGTCGTGGTCAGGGTTTACGGTACGGTCGGGCCAGCGAGAACCCCCCTACACTCGATCTCGAAACCTTTAACATTAAACTGTTGTATCTACACACGTACATTGGGAAGAGAGAGAGAGAGAGAGAGAGGTGGCTAGATAGATGGATAGGCAGCAAGGAAGATCGACATCACGGTCCCATCCGTCCGAATGGTTTGCATCGTGATGCGACATTGGTGTTGGTATCTTCTCAGGCATGTCTGGCAGCTTGGCAAGGGGCCACTGGAGAATAGGCTTCTTTAGGACAACAAATGTGCAGACATTGCGTACTGGTAAGCAGTGTATGGAGGCATCCCCGCACACGGAACTATAGTACTTCCAACATCACTAGGACAACCACGACGACGCCCAGTGTCTGGATGTTAAGAAATAGCACAGACCTGTCTAGATTGCTGCTCAAGCTCTAGTTTGGAATCATTACAAA